GGCGGCTGGGCCCGGGCTGGTGGAGCTGGGCTTCGCCGAGGCGGCACCGGCTTGGAGGCTGCGTAGCGAGCAGTTCCCCAGCAAAGTGGGCGGGCGGCCCGCGTGGCTGGGGCTATCGGGGCTGCCGGGACCCGGGGCGCTGACGTGCACGCGCTGCGGCCATCCGCTCACCTTCCTGCTGCAGGTGTACGCGCCGCTGCCCGACCGCGACGACGCCTTCCACCGCAGCCTCTTCCTCTTCTGCTGCCGCGAGCCGCCGTGCTGTGCCGGCCTGCGAGGTGAGCGGCAGGGCCGAGGCGAGCCCCGCGCGTGGGGTGCATGAACCGGTTGGCGTTAGGTGACAGAAGCTGACTTGCAGATTTCCATCCCTTTGCAGTCTGAGTTAACTCCCATTGTTGGGCACGAACTCTAGAGCCAGTGCGTGTCAGATGGGAACTCTTCACTGTTTTATTCCCTCTCCTTAAAAAAAAAAAAAAAACTCCCCGAAAGCGCAAACCTCACCTTATGAGGTGAAGCACCGAATAAGGCTCAAATGTTTGAATTTTGTTTCACTGAACACCTTTATGCTTTTCGCTTCAGTTTTTCGGAATCAGTTACCAAGGAAAAATGCGTTTTACTCCTACGAGCCTCCTTCTGAGACGGGAGCTTCAGACACTGGAGATTCTGTGCGCCTCCAGCTTAAGTCAGGAGCCCACCTCTGCCGGGTTTGTGGCTGCCTGGGCCCTAAGACGTGCTCTAGGTGCAAGCAGGCACATTACTGCGGGAAGGAGCATCAGACACTGGACTGGCGGCTGGGACACAAGCATGCTTGTGCACAGTCAGGTAAGACATCCCTGTTTTCGTCTCAGTTTCTGATAACGTTGAAATTAGAAAACACAATACTTTAAAAGTTTTAAGAACTGGTAACATGAACACTTTAATACTGGAAGAGCAGTGTTGTTGAGGCTTAGTGATGTAGACAGCTTTTTGTGAGTACTGGCTTTTAGGACTCCCTAACCTAAAATACAACCGGCTATATTAACAGAGAAACGTAGTAGTTAGTAGTAGTCATGCATACATACAGCTTCACCACCTCCCGGTTGACGGCATACACATCCGTGATCTGACCCCCCCCCCCCCCCCCCCCCACACACACACACCTGTCCGGGAATTTGCTTTGTAGACCAAGCTGGCCTTGAATTCACAGGGATCCGCCTGCCTCGAACTCTTAAGTACTGGGATTAAAGGAATGAGCCAATCAATTCTTAATTGTTACTGACTTTGTAGACTGTTATCTCATCACTTTATTTATGCTTGTGGTGTTGGTCTCAAAGGCCTAGTACATTATCCAATACTTTGATAACAGTATCCAATACTTTGACAACAAGTGACTGTATTCACAGTTTGATATTTATTGTACCATTTAATCTTATTTTAGCCTACTGTGTATTTTAAAAGTGTTAATGAGCCAGAGGTGGTGACAACTCTATGTAATCCTAGCTCTCAAGTGCTAGATGCAGGAGGATTTTAAGTTTGAGGCCCATCTGGGCTACATAGTGAGATCCCAACACATAAAAAACTAAGCTTGCCATGTGATATGGGCAGCAACTTTATACATTTAATGGCTAGCATAAGGCTACATAGTAATTATGCTATACCATAGTGACTTGATGTTCAAACTGTGATGAAATGCTTTAGAAATAGGAAAATTTTAGATCATCTTCAAAAATAAATGTTCATTAATGATGTTAATAACTTTCTTGTAGATCATTTAGACCAGACAGCTCCAGACCACAACTTCCTGTTCCCAGAATTTGAAATTGTGACAGAAGCAGAAGGCGAGATTACACCTGATGAGGCTGTGGAAATTAAAGATTATTCTGAAGTCAAAGAAAGCATGGGTAAGGAGTCTGACCAAATATACTTTAGGAAAAACACTTGGGAGAGTAACAGAGAATATCACGGTAGAAGACTGTAGATCAAAACAGTAACTGCATGTATGACAAGAAGTGCTCTTTGTAACCATAAGGTCTGGTTTATAGAAACTAAATTAGAATTTCAGTTTACTGGTTCATTTTTGCCACAAGCATTGAAGAAATGTGAAAATTATTCTGTGGCCCAGTTCATGCTTTGTAACAGGAGTACACAACAAAGAATGGCACTTAGTAAGTCAGGTTTATTCTCAGGAGGAAGCCCACAGAACGCTCAACCAGTAAAATGCCTTGTGTTAAAAGGTAAGGATGCAGGGCTGGAGATATGCCTCAGAGGTTTAGAGCACTTGCTGCTCTTTCCAGGAATCTAGGTTTGGATGCCAATAGAACTGCCTGGATTTGTAACTGTGATGTGTGTATTCATGTGTATACTGCTGCTCATGTTTTTACAAGTGGCAAGTCATGAAAAAGTATTCTTTCAGAAAGGAAGTTAATGAGAGGGATGGTGTGCTCAAGATTTGTGACTGTAGGACCTGGCAGTCATTTATATGAATGAGCATTATATAAGAAGCAATCATAAAAGTAAACAGTTGAATTATGTAACCACTTAATTCTACACGACTTCAAACCAGTGATTTTTCAGTAGATCTCTACATTCAATGAGCATGTCTTTCTTGAAATTTGGAGACAGGTCCTCATATAGGCCAAGCTAGCCCTGAACTCATCCTCTTGCCTCTGCCTCCACCTCCTGAGTGCAAATATTATAGGTGTTATATCATTTTACATCTGACTGCTGTTATTTTATTGAGTAAATTGATGTATTAGGTCTGGGAAAAGAATAATATACAGATTTGCAAAAAGTAGGTCTGAATTTTTATTGGAAGATGCAAGCAACTCACAAATACTTTATCTACAACAAAGATTTAAAAATCCTTAGATTTTTAAAAATCGTTTTAAAATTTTTAGAAATCATTAGGTCATCTTATTTGTAGTTGGTACTACACAGCTATAAAATGATCTGTTTAGAGAGGTAGTTGATTACAGAACTAGGGAGGAAATAAAGAAAGTGGTTATCAGAAATTGAAGATGTCAACAGTTGAGAATTCAGTTATCACACCTTTAATCCTAACACTTTGGAGGCTGAGGCAGGTGGATCTCTGTGAGTTCAAGGCCAGCCTAGTCTACAGGACAGCCAAGGCTATTTCACAGAGAAACCCTGTCTCAAAAAACCACACCCACCCACACCAAGCAAAAGAATTCAGTTGTCAGTGGATTTTAGTGGTACAAATTTACAATCCCAGCTACTCAGGAGGCTTAAGGCAGGAGAGTTCTAAGTCTGGGGCCTTCTAGGGCTACCAAATGAGTTCAAAGTAAGCCTGAATGAAATCTCATCTAGATCTCATGGTGGAGGTTAGAACTCAGTGTAGGGCATTTTGCCCAGCGTGGTGTACCAGGCTCTAGATTTAGTCCCTGGTTCTGAAAAACAGAAACTTAATCATCAAAAATTATAGATAAAATGAAGTGACAGGGGAAATCGAAATTAGCTTTGAACTGATTCTTAGTACTTGACAACTATAGTATTTCTATTTTTGTGGATGTTCAAGATAAGATTTTCAAAATGTTTCTTTGCTGTTACTGTATCCTAGCTGAGAATTGGTTTGGGCTGCAAGGAGAAAGTGGTTGGGAAGGAGACAAGGGATGGGGGGGTGGGAGGCGGTTACCTGTGGAGTATTTTAAGGGCCCCCTAAGTCATTAATGCTTTGCTTCTGAACTTGAGAGAACATCAGTCTGAGGGAATGTACATTCTTTATGCATCCTGGCCATTAATGTCAGTAAGTGTCATTAATTAATTAATGTCTCCCCAATTCATCAAAATTGTGAAATTGAATTTCAGCTTGTTTGACTTGGTATCAAAGTTGTATTCTGACACATGTTACCAACACTAAAGGTTGTATTGGTAGCCACTGGTCTGTTGGACTCCAGGGGTTCAGGTTAGGTAGAGGTCCAAACTGGCTGTGGAACAGGAAATGGCATTTCCTGGCTGTGAATGAATGCAAATGGAGAGATGGTTGAGAAGGAGATTTGAAGTAAGAATTCAGATAGTTTACAGTAGTGATGAGGACTCACATTGCAGGGGGTCATAAGACCATTGCTACAGTTCTGAGCCATCACCCATATTTTAATTTAGAGCCTTAAAGACTAGATCTATAAGGATTACATGTTACCTAGAAATAAGCACTAATGGTACTTGAACAGAGGAAACTAATTAATTAGGTGATTAGCTAGATTCCCCATACATTTGAATTGTTAAATTGTGGGGATTATTCCAGTATTCTATAATTATTGTGTGTGTCTCCTTCCCCCCTCCCCAGGGAGAATACTTGAGGAAGAACTAGATTCCATGGCAAAGCATGAATCCAAGGAAGATCACATTTTCCAAAAGTTTAAATCCAAAATAGCCCTTGAACCAGAGCAGGTAAAATGGGATTTATACCTCTTCATTGTGTTCTCAAAATGACTATAACCCCCATTTTCAGCTTTTAAAACTGATAATTCATATGCCTATAGCATATACATAAATATTTACATACACAGCTATTTAAAAAACATATATTATTAACTTTTCCCCCATTAAGTTACTTTACCATAAACAATGGCTAAAGGAAACTTCCTAAAAATACTGGATCAAATAAGTGCCCAAGATAATAGGAAGCTTTGATCTGGCTTCAACATAACACTAAAATGGTTTTTAGCAATGGTGATACAGGAAAAACACCCTGAAGGTGATTATAGTGAATTTACCCTTTTTAAAACACTTTAGTCAAATATCATGTCGGACTACATTTATATCCCTTTTTAAATAGTTAAGGATCTTGACTATATATGGCCACATTTTGTGTGCAGACTCGTTATTCTTAATTCCTTTGCAGTGTAATAGGACAGATTCTGACATTGTGGGGCCAGTGCTTGTTGAACCAGATGACCTGAGTTTGGTCCTTAGGACCCACACAGTAGAAGTTGTTGACTCTCACAGGTTATCCTCTGACCTCATACTCAGACTTTGACATGACTGCTGCCATATTCATGTGTACACACATGGTGATTTTAATTGTCTTTTAGGTTTAGGGGTGTTGGTAGTGTATAGAAGCACATAGGGATTTTCTCTAAATGATCCTCAGGATCATGGTCCCATTGGAAACTCTTAGATAAGATGTGGTCCTTGTTGATTTTTAGATTCTCAGGTATGGAAGAGGCATTAAACCGCTCTGGATTTCTGGAGAAAATATCCCTCAAGAAAAAGATATTCCAGATTGCTCCTGTGGTGCTAAGAGGACATTTGAATTCCAGGTATGTCCTTAAATAATGACATTTTAGAAAAATGGACCAAAATATGAGCACCCTGCCTTGAAATATTACCCCTATTTTGTCCTCTTCCCAGGTCATGCCCCAGCTGTTGAACTACCTAAAGGCAGACAGACTGGGCAGGAGTGTGGACTGGGGCGTCCTGGCAGTCTTCACCTGTGCTGACAGCTGCAGCCTGGGCATGGGCTACACAGAGGAATTTGTGTGGAAACAGGATGTAACAGACACACCTTGAAAACGATTACATTCTTTTTTTCCTGGTTTTTCAAGATAGGGTTTCTGGCTATCCTGGAACTTGCTTTGCTCCAAGTGCTGGGATTAAAGGTGTACACCACCACCACCCAGTTTATTATTGCTATTTTAAATGTATTCATGTTTTGCCAGCATATGTGTGTACCACATATGTGCCTGGTGCCTCTAGAGGCCAGAAGACGATTTTGAATTTCCCTGGAACTGGAGTTACAGACACTTGTGAGATACTATGTGGGGTGCTGGGAAACCTGGGTCCTCCAACTTATTAAGAGTACTTCCCACTCGTCCAAAGGACCCAAGTTCAGTTTCTAGCACCCACATCAGGAAGCTACCTGTAACACCAGGTCCAGAGGATCTGATGCCCTTTTCTGACCCCTCTGGGTAGCCAGTACATATGTGGCATAACTCACACAGATACATAAAACTTACACATGAGCAAAAAATAAAACCTTAAGAGTATCTGGGAAGGAACCATGTATAGTTCCATCTATAAACCATCCATATTCACAGCATTTCCCCACCTCCAGTTTTATAGTTAAAGAGGTATGTAGGAAAAACCAAAGTAGTCAATACTGTCTGATGCCAGAACAAGGAAAAACTCAACTTCGTAAGACCGAGTAGGATGAAGGAGGAGCCAGTAAAGAAGCAATAGTACCAGGCTTGGCAGGAGCCTGCATTTAAGAAGGTCCTACTTCAGAGCTGGCCTTGAAAAGCCAGGGGACTTATTTATAGAAGACTGAGATCAAACAAGGACCTCCTTTTCCCTCTGCAAATACTGCCTTCACAGGTTAACTTGAGAAAGTGAACAGAGAAGGAAGAACTGGCCCTGGAAGGAACAACCTGACTAAAGGGAGGTCCTGGAGCCATCTTTCAGGTATGGGGTGTTCCATATGGTGCATTGCCAAGCAATTTGCCAAATCTCAAGATGTTAACAGTACTTGCAGTCTTCACCCACTCACAAGTGAATTCCCGACATCAGAGACCCAACAGAGCTTTTATGTCATGTCACCTTAGCATCCTTGTATATCACACTATATTACCATTGACTATCCAGCTATAGCATATCACAGAGTCCTGTCCTGTGAGTTCATACCACATATGTGTACGTTAAGATATACATAGAACCATTTGGAGATTCCTATGGGGGACACGTTATTTACTAAGCTACTTTTAAGGGGAAAATGCTGTTCATTTTTAACTTGAGGCAGCTATGCTAAAGCACTAAGAACCACACAATTAGTGGCGAACATGTAAAAACACACTGACTCAGGAAAAGACTCAGACAGGATATTCAAATGTGGCATCACCTACAAAATTACAGCAAAGCTGTCTACTCAAAATGTCCTACAGAAAGGTCTGAATGCTAAAGACTTTTAAAAGTAAATGCACCAATGTATTTATAAACGGCAAGGGCTGTTATTTAAGGCTATCCCCGGGTGGTGTGGACATGAATGTACCCAGCTAGGCGCTCAACAAACTACATCTGGGGTCAACCTTGGAGACCCCTGGATTCAAGGTTACCTCAGGCCACAAACTGAGTGCCTGATTGGCCTGGGCTTGATATCTCACGATTCCTTCTCACTAAAATTACTATCTTGGTTATTTTTTGTCAGTTTGATATCTGGGAAGGATTCTTGAGAAAATGGCTCAATAAAATTGACCTGTAGATCGCCAGGTGGTGCACGCCTTTAATCCCAGCACTTAGGAGGCAGAGGCAGCCGGTCTGTGAGTTTGAGGCCAGCCTGATCTACACAGAGAAACCCTGTCTTGAAGAAACAAAACAAAATGAACAAAAATGACCTGTAGGCAAGTCTTAGGGAGTACATTCTTGAATGATGTAGGAGAGCCCATTTCAATGTGGGTGGTGCCACCCCTAGGCAGATGGTCCTGGGTTGTATAAGAAAGCAAGCTATGCAGGCCAGTGAGCAGCGTTTTTTTCCTGGTCTTCCCTTGATGATGGAATGCAACTACAAGCTGAAATAAGCCCTAACTAAGACTCCTGCATGTATAATCTATGTACAGTACACTTGACATACCAGCACATGCTAACTTGCCATCCCCTATTAAGGATTCTACTCTGGGGATAGGTCAGTCACAGAGGTCATTCCGTGCAAGCACAAGATCCTGTGTTCTATCACCGGTATGTCAAAAATTAACAATGAGGATAAAAGGATATGCACAATATAGAACTGATAGTTCTATCGATAGAGCTAGTAGTTCATGAGGTTTATGATCCCAGCTACTTGAAAGAGTAAGGCAGAATCACCGACTTTATGGCCACCTGGGCTATAGAACCATAACTTTGTCACCCTGTCTCAAACAAAAACAGGAGAAGAAAAGCGGCTAGGTACATTAAATCCCAGCCATTAAGATGTTAAAATACTAGAAAGAAAACACAAGTTTACTAACCAAAACTACATGCCTAGAACTTACAGTTCAAATGCAATCAACTATTAACAGCAGTAATAAGGGTTCAATAAATAGATTGGAAAAAGGTAAATATAATGAACATTTTTTTCCTTAAAGTGTTATGAAAAAATAAAACAAGAAACCATAATGAAATAATTAACTTTTATGAAATGAAAATGCTCCATATAAAAAGAATTATAAAACTTAAAAAAAAATATATAATCTTGGAGCGAAATCCTGGAAAGATGCCTTTCCAAATAGTTGTCACATTACTAATATCAGTAATGTCTGGGAAGTGCAAGGAAGGGTGCCTTGTATATACTTTTGGGGGTTGGAATATATTATTGATTTGTCAAAACTTAGGACACATAAATGGTTCTAATACATCAATTCCTCTTGTAAAAGTATGCTATAGAAATCTGTGCATACAAGCATACCTGATCCAACACTGTAACAGTGTGCACTGTTATTTAAGTGTGCACAAGGTATTTAAGAGGACATTACATGGCATGTCTTAGAAGTATAACTGATAAACTGCAAAAAATGAAAGTCACAAAAGAACATATGCTTGAGTGTTTTTCCAAAAATGAGATGAAAAGTAACCCCAAAGGACAAAATTATACATTAAAAACTTAAAAACAACACACCTGGTGACTTTAACACCCTAGTCTATCAACTCCTCCTACACTTAGTTCTGGGCCAGGATCTACAAATCAGCAAGGCAATAACTCATCCCTAGTCCACAGTTCATTCTCACACTTGTCCTGAGTGACATGGTAACTGGCAAGCATCAAGGACTGAATGAAGCCTTTTCTCCCAACTGTTGGCATTCAATGGAGCTCTTCTCAGTCTTGTTATCTCAGAAAGGTACTCTAGTAACCTCAAGTTCCAGGGACTAATGCCAACTGAAAACAGTCACTTACTAGTGTTCCTGTCATGCCTGCTGCCACCATCAGGTACCGTCAGGTACACTGTAGAGAGCTCAGGCATAATCTAGGTGAAGGGTTAGAAGACATCCACCAATGTGGAGGTTACCTGGGGAAATAGGTAAGGACAGAAAGAAAAAGACTTCTTTCTGATTACACATACTCTAAACTGCAAATGTACTTTTATAATTTAAGAAAAGGGACATAAAATGCTCCTGAAATAACCCAAGGCTTTATAAGTGTCCACCTGGTATTTCATGACAAAAATGTTCTATTGGAGAAGCTAGCTATCTGTGGACAGGGCAGCAGCTTCTATACCTCCCATTCCCATTCCCTTAATAGCCCTCCCATGTCCCTTACTAGCTATGAAACCTTGGATAAGGCTCTGGCAAAGGCTGAAAAAGTAACAAAAGGTAACTAGTTTGGTGAAGATCCCAGACACTGAAGTATCTAGGAAATAGGAGGGTGTTCAATGGGGATTGTAAAATCACTGGTATGTCCATTTTCACTGCAATTGAGAAAAAGGAAAAAAAATGACAAGCAAACAAAACAACGGTCTCAGGTATTATATCTAAAATAAATTTCTTTGACAGTATGATCACATGACTCTTACAAGGTATCATTTGTAACAAAAATCTAACAATTTACAGGCTGCATTTTTTTGTGCAGAGTACTCCAAAGAAAGAAAAGTATGTACATTTGTTTTGATTAATACAACTATTTAGAGTTCTGCAATACTGGGAAGGTGGAATGTATCTGGCACAAAAATAACTCCTAAGAGTTAGAAACTAGAAAACAACACTTTTAAAAAAAGATTTTTACTTTTCTGGTAGAAATATAAAAACTGGCTTATGTGGGAAAAGTTAAAATAAAAAGTCCAATTGTACAGGTGGCTTGAACACTTAAAAGTTCTGTCCCTTAAACCAACAAACTCATCAACAGCAGTGTTTAAAATCTAAATATAAATAAATGGGCAGTGCTGCCCAAGTAGCAGCACAGAGCAAGCGACTCACAGTAATGCTGCAGGGCAATCGATCTCACTGCAGAGGAGGTAACCTTTCAGTGTCCTGCAGTGGGACACACGGTGTCACTTCATGCTGCCACCTGTAACTGAGTGTCCTTCTCACAACTGTACCATGAGCGGTACCAAAACTGACGGGTTTTAAAAAACAAGTGGGTAGGGGAGGCAGGACATGGCAGCCACTATGTGGTCTTCCTGAATCCCTTTAAGATGGGGTAGATGTTTTCAAATGCTTCATAAATTTCTGCTCTAACTTTAGCACCTACAAAGACACATTGGAATAGAAACGAGATGGTTTAAGTAACATTTCTTAAAATAGAAAGTAACATCATTACCTTAAAACAAAGCCACAAATACAGTTCTCTCCATACCCAGTTAAGACAAACAAATGGTATTAAAATAAATGGTGGAGGCCCTTTGTCATAATCCTAGCCTTCCTTTTTTCTTTTTTAAGAGACAGGGTTTCTCTGTATAGCCCTGGCTGTCCTGGAACTTGCTGTGTAGACCAGGCTAGCCTGCCTCTGCCTGCTGAGTACTAGGATTAAGGGCCATGCCCCGCTCTCCAGCTTTTGTTTTTAAAACATTATTTTCTTAGCGTTTAAAGACTTTTAACTCTAGACCAGCATTTCCTCACCAGTTGGTCGCAGGCCAGGATCCACAAGTCAGCAAGCAAGGCAATACCCCCCACCCTCCTAGTATTCGTGTTTCCTCCTTGCCTGCTGCCACAGTCAAACATAGTCTAGCCGCAGGCTACAACTGTAGCAGAACTCTAGTGTTTTCACTCTTCCCCCTTTCTCATGAAGGATGGGAAGCAAAATGTAAACAAAATCTTCCTTACAAGTGGCTAGGCAGTTGTCCCAACACAGAAATCCCATCCTAAATTCTTTCCAAGTTTGGTACTCTATCCCTTTAACTTACCTGTTAATACAACTTTTCCAGAAACAAAAATAAGGAGAACAATCCTGGGTTTGATCATTCTGTAGATTAATCCAGGAAATAATTCTGGCTCATAGCTAGAAAGAAAATGGGAAAACAGTTTAGGAATCACCAGTTTTTTTTTTGTGTGTAAACACAATGAGGCCTTGTGTCAGGAAGTACTGAGTGAACAAGCCAGGTGTCCACAAATAGGACACACAAGAAGGAAACACTTTCACCAAGCAAGAGCCAAATGGCATGGATATGGCTTTCTATGCTGTCCTCACAGAATCTAGATTTTCTATGATAAAAACAAGACTGTATACTCACATTCTCTGACCCTCATTAGGTTCATTTTGGGCAAGTCTAGGGATAGCAGCTTAATCTCACCATGCACTCTTAAGAGTTGATAGTGGCAGTCAACCTTGTAATCATACATCACCTTCCTGAATAGAAATACTCTAACAGGGTGACTTAACCAGAGTGACAAACCATGAGCTTGGAAATGAACCTACTCCCTGATCACATCATCTACCTGAACTGACATTAATGAAATTCTAACCTAGTGATTTCAGGTTTGTTTAATCTGATAAAAGGACCTGTGTGTCTTATGTGTAACCTGGAAAAAAACTCTTTTGGGACAGGTTTATATGAAAAGGAGCAACACTGACTATCTGAAACTCAAAAAGGAATTTCTATGTTAAAAACTGAACCTAATGTGCCAGGTATAAAAGTACCATGTGTAAAGGCCCTGAAGCAAGAGGATTAGGGTAAGTGTGAGGGGGCTGGTGAGCTGATGTGGCCGCAAATAGAAAACAAATAACCGAGGTAAGGGTGAGAAGAAAATGGAAAGGAATAATAAAGGACAGCACATCCCTGCTTGCTCATTTGTATACTTTGCTGGTGTGTTGACAAAAAAGATTCAAACTAGGAGAAAAATGGTAGAAGAAACTACAAATTTATTTATGTAAATGGATTTACTGACTAACAAAATGATAAGGCATACAGAAGTGATCTGAGTCGCTCCAGGGAAGGAGTTTGGGTGTCGGTCACTGAGTGAAAGAGGGCAGCAAAAAGTGCAGTAGCACAATTGCAGAGATACCTTATGTTTACATGGAGCACACTCAACTTGCAACTACATCATAAGCTTAGAAACAGAATGTCTTACATGTACTTCACCCTGAATGATGCCTGAGTAGATAGTAAATGGATTGTTGCTAACACTAATCCCAATATCTCTCAGACCTACCTGCTGAACTGCTGGTGGGTCAGCACAAGGCCTTCCAGCCTTATGGGGAACTTCACATCACAGCTCCCCACCATGTTTTGGATCTTGAAGTCTAAGAACTTAGCTGGAAAGCCCAACTTCTGCACAACTCTAGCGTATTTTCTTGCTGCTAGTCTGGATTGTTCTTCACTAAAGAAAAAAGAAAAAACAGTGAGTATGTACAGAAGCCTAATGGAGTAATTCAGAAGAATAACTTAAATGGAGTCTAAATTAGAAAACTAATTAAACTATCCCTGTGACCTTAACAGAAAGGATAATCTACCAAAACATCAGCCTTGGATTTGCCAGATTACCGACAAGCTCTAGGTTTAAAGGATGTGATGTAGCATGTGATTCAATTATGATCATTGCTTTTACTACATTCTGACCCACAAATATCTACTGAGATGGAAACCTCATTTTTATATATATAAAAAAAAAAATACTAAAGCCGGATGGTGGAACACACAGATTTAATCCTACCACTTGGGAGACAGAGGCAGGTGTATCTTGAGGCCAGCCTGGTATACAGAGCAAGTTCCAGGGATACACAGAGAAACCCATTTTTGAAAAACAAAACAACAACAACAAAAAACTGAAAAGACTAGTAAAATTTACTACTGACAAATACATAAATTCTATCTTCCTTTACATCAGATCTCCATCCACTCTTAGGACAACATTATTGGATGGAACTGACTTTCCAACTTAGCTTTCACCACAAAAGTAGGATGCAAATACTAAAGTACAGGAAATCAGGGGTAACAAAAATGAGAAGTGGGCATTGATGCTATTCAAAGTGATTAGGATAAACCATTAAAGATAACACATTGAAAGTGTTAGTCCAGGGCTGGAGAGATGGCCCAGTAGTAAAGAGCTGTGGCTGCTCTTCCAGAGGACCTGGGTTCAATTCTCAGCACCCACATGGCAGCTCACACCTGTCTGTATTTCTAGTTTCAGGGGACCCAGCACCTTCACACAGACGTACATGTAGGCAAAACACAAATGTACAGGAAATAAGAATAATATATATATGTTTGGTTCCAAGCATTTGAAAAAAACATGCTAATCCAGCAGGGCGGTGGTGGTGCACTGCTTTAATTTCAGCACTAAGGAGACAGAAGCAAGCAGAATTTTGTGAGTTCTAAACCAGCCTGGTCTACAGAGTAAATTCCAGGACAGCCAGGGCTACAGAGAAAAACCCTGTCTCAAAACAGACAAACAAACAAAAGTGCTAGCCTGATAATAGAAATGATGATATATCCCTTTTCTTTGATAATACATCCACCAGAAACAAAGAATCCCTTAAGAGTACAGTACCTCTTGGCTCCTGTGCACACCATTTTCCCAGAACTGAAAATCAGCGCAGTTGTCCTTGGCTCTCTTATTCTCATGATGACAGCAGCAAACCGCTAAATGGTCAGAAAGAAACATTAGAGTTGCACTTATGGTGACCGATCAGAGTTTCTGTGAAGAAAACTCTGGGTTCTGAGTCAAACTATCTTGGCTACACCAGGTATTCCTATCAATGCATTAAAAGTTTCTTTTAGGCCGGGTGGTGGTGGCAAACGCTTTTAATCCCAGCACTCAGCAGGCAGAGGCAGGCGGATCTCTGGGAGTTCGAGGCCAGCCTCGTCTCCAGAGTGAGTGCCAGGATAGGCTCCAAAGCTACACAGAGAAACCCTGTCTGGGGACACACACACACACACACACACACAAAAAAAAAAAATTTTCTCTGGTGCATGTAAGAAAGTTTTTTTAACATATGCTAGGCTATCAGTCTAAAGTGGCTGGTTCCCTTTCACAAATTCTCATTTCCTTCTTATGTTATGACAGCAGTAATTAACAACTGTATATGCCCTGTACACAAGATGGTCCCAATCTTTCGGATGGAAGAACTTTTGTAATAGCTTTCTGTCACTGAAACAAAATATGCTTAGGAACTGGTACTTTCTCCCTCCTCCCAAATCTTTTTTTTTTTTTTTTTAAGTTCCAGTGTTGTGGCTTGAATGGAAGCGGACCCCATAGACTTATGTATTTGAATGCTAACTAGAGAACAGAACTATTTGAGAAAAATTTAAAAGGAGTAAGAAGTGTGGTCTTGTTGGGTAAAGTGTGCTTTGAGGTCACAAAAGCCCACTCCAGGCAAGTGTCTCTCTCTGCCTGCTGCCTTTAGATCAGAGTGTAAAACTCTCAGCTCCTGCTCCAGTACCAAGCCTGTCTGTTTCTGGTCATGATGATCCTGATTTACCCTCTAAAACTGTAAGCAAGTCCCAATTAAATGCTTTCTTTCTTTCTCTCTTTCTTTTTCTTCTTCTTTTTTTTTTTTTGGTTTTTCAAGATAAGTACAATACTACTCATTTTGCTGGCATTAAGAAACAAGTGCAATACAAACTTTCTTACCTACAGATTTAGGAATAATTTTCTGTGTAAGTCTGAAATACATGAAAATGGGTCTGACCTTGGGATTATATTCAGCATTTCGGGCACGAAGTGCAATGGTCTTTAGGTCAAGTTTACATCCAAGATTCACCGTGGATACAATATTTCTGCAAGAAATTCGAAAACATAATTACTTAAAATATTTAACTTTTAAACAAAGGCCAGTGGTCTTCAAGTTTACAACCAAATGAATATTATATTCATTTGCTATGAATATATTTCAGCAAGAAATTTGAAAACATAGATTGCTGATCCATTATTTTTCACCAGGCTTTAATAACAACAAAACAAAAAACCCTTGCTGACATTAAATGTTTAAAAAGTGCCACATATAAGATATTCTCACTTAGTATTCAAAATGTACTATGAGGTTGTAACTGCTACTCCCATGTTCAGACAAAGCAGCTGAGCCTCAAGGGACTACACTATTTGTCTTGGGATGCATAGGTTCCCAAGCGGAAGAGCCAGGACTTGGCTGTCTCAAGAGCCATGCCTTGAGCCTTTTAACAACCACCTCACCTTCCTGAGCTCTGAATTAACAGCTCACTGTTAAGTCATTTTAGTGAAAATAGGCAGATGTGGACTTTCTCAGTCTTCCCCAAGTAAGCTTATCTTTTGGAAAAATGGGAATTCAATGTCTTTAGCAAGAGAAGAAAATGTCTGTCTTTTTTCTGTATTTATTACAGTAAGTCATGTTAAATAGAATCGTTAGCAGGCTGAGGACAGAGCTCAGTTTGTAAAGAACTTGACATGCATGAACCCATATGAAAAATCCCAGAGTGATAAGAAAAATCCCAGAGTGATAATGAGTACTTGTAATCCTAGTGCTAAGGAGACAGAGCCAGGCAGATCTCTGAGGCGCTAAAGCTTAGCCAAACTAGCAAATTTCAGGCCAGTAACAGATCCCATCTTAAAAACCAGGGTGGGTAGTGTCCTGAGAAATGGTTCTTGAGATTCTCCTCCAGTATACACAGAGGAAGTGCATGCATACACACAAAATCCATCATTATCCACTTGGGTCTAAAAGACTGTTTCATGCCATTGTATCATATTCTCAAAAGCATTCTATGCAATACAGGGTTTCAGTGTAGCCCTGGCTGTCCTGGAAGTCAGTCTGTAGACCAGGCTGGCTTTGAACTCACAGAGATCCCCCTGCCTCTGGTGCCCAAGTGCATGCTCTGTAGATATGGAAATAAGTGCATGCCATAAGCTGGTTCCAACAGATGATTTTAATCACAAGAACAAACCAGAATGCCCGTGGAGGTCAAAATGGCATGAAAAATTAGTTTGAAGCAGCACAGACAAAGGAGAGCTAACAGGGCTTGATGGGGTTGTCCTTCCGTGTGTATGTTCTCTTATTGGTTGATGAATTAAAAAACACTGTGTGGCTAGTGGCCAGGCTGGAAGGATAGGCGGGGCTATGAAAGGAGAATTCTGGGAAGGGTAGACAGACAGGAATCACCATGTAGCTGCTGAAATGAGAAACAGGTCTGGATATTCTCTAGTAAGTCTAGACCACGTGGAAATACTTAGATTAATAGAAATGGATAAATAATTAAGACAGAACTAGCCAATAGGAAGCCCAAGTCACTGGCCAATAGTTTTATAATTAATATAAGGTCTGTGTGTTTATTTGGAACTCAAGGGCAATCAGACAGCTGTGGAACCAGACTGGTGGGAAAGAACTTTCTGTAACAAGGGCTTGTCTCTCTAAAATATTAAAATCAAAAGTAATTTTAAAATTGCATACAGGCAAGGTATAAGTTTTTGGGTATAGTAGTCGAGGTTCATGATTATATACCACTTAGATTAAAAAATGATCTGGCAACCGGGCGTTGGTGGTGTACACCTTTAATCCCAGCACTTGGGAGGCAGAGGCAGGCAGATCTCTTGAGAGTTCAAGGCCAGCCTGGTCTCCAGAGCGAGTGCCAGGATAGGCTCCAAAGCTACACAGAGAAACCCTGTCTCGGAAAAAAAAAAAAAAAGAAAAGAAAAAGAAAAAATGATCTGGCATGGCTTACAAATGACAATTATATATGTAAAAGGAAAGTCATGTGTAAATAAGAAACATCTGAAAGTAGGAAGATCGGGTTAATAAACACAAACTGAATAGTGTGTTGTCATCTGCAATGAACCCTTTAATCAGGACATAAGCTTCCTTAAAGTAAAGCTGCATACTTCTTACTAAGGAGTATCTAGATTTGGTTGTTTCAGAAGAAAGAAAAAAGCCTGTATCTCCTACCTTTTCACACGTGGGAACTACTTCACTTAGGCAGAAAAATGTATCAAGACAAGAACTGCTATCCTCACTTTGAAAGAGAGACACAAATTCCAAAGATAAAATATAGCCCTCACAGCGAAATTGTAGAAAAATCTGGACTTAAGAACTCTGCTAACATTATGGCCAAGCCTGTGAAAACAACTGCACTGTGACTCAGCCAATTAGCTACAGGGAAATGTCCACAGTATTGATGAAACTCAGTTTTCATTTCAGTGACTCAAACACATAAACACAAGCAATTCCATTTCTAAGGAAAGGTTTTGTTGAGAGCATTGACTGTAGCTTCAATTCCTTGCCAAAAGCCGAGGAAGCTGCAGTGTAACAGAATTACCACTGGGTCACTTCCTTAAGTAAGACTGAAAGCAAATAGTGTAATACCACTGAAAGCTTCCTCTGGTGCAGAGGACAAGGAACACACACACACACACACACACACACACACACACACACACGTTGGGGGAGGGGAGGAGAGGGCATGAGCAAACAAGGTAAGAGGTACTCACTGCAGCTGTGGTACGATCCCAGAGCTCTCAGAGGCTGGTGTGGCAGGAGTGATAGGGGTGGTGGGGGTGATTGGTGAAGGGTACAAGGGGGTGGTGCCTGGCAATGGTGCAGTGGTCAGAGTTTGAGAATGGAAGAGCTGTGGAGTCTGGCCTGAGGCACCCTGTGTGGATTGCTGAGATGTAGATTGCTGTACTGAGGCTGCTGCAGTTGCTACAGACTGCTGCTGCTGCTGCTGTTGCTGCTGCTGCTGCTGTCTTTGTTGCTCTTCCAAAATAGACAGACTATTGGTGTTCTGAATAGGTTGTGGAGTAAGTCCAGTGCCATAAGGCATCATTGGACTAAAGATGGGAATTCCAGGAGTCATGGCACCCTGTGGAAAGCAAAAAGAGAATGCTTAAGACATTAATGTTGAGTAATACAGGTTCTTTTCCTAGTGGAACCCAGGTAAAGTGTAAAACCTGATGCTTGCTGAATATAATAGGTCATTAAATATTGGGAAGAATCTGCTATCCTGAGATGCATCCCTTTTCTTCTGTAGTACTGAATATAGTAGCTGAGCACTTTAGCATCTCTAATCTGTTATTTATGATATACAAGAAAGATGCTTAGCCTCCCAAGCATATCTAGACCATAAGGACAAATCAAAGGTACATGTCCCTTTAAAGTGCTACCCAGTATATGAGGGTTACCCTCTAGCTTAACATGTGACCATTTGGATGATGGATCACAAAGTCACCTAGAGGTTCAAGATGACAAGCTCATGGTATACTCTATGATACTTCAAAGAGCTATTTATTCTACTAAAAACAAAAATCAACAAAGCCTATAAAATACTGTTAACTGCCTTTTCTATAATGCTTCTATGTCTTACAAACATTGTTAGATTTAGTAATTATTTATGTGGAAGTAGAAAGAAAAAATGGCAAAATTTATACTAAATTAGTAACAATTTAGGTTTAATTCTATTGCAAATACACACATACATTTTACATCAAAACATGTTTAATTTTGGAAAGCAGATTTGGTTGTCATCTTGGGCTAGGAAAGTGACTGCGAGAGGGTCTAGAAGGAACCTCCTGAAGCAAATGAAATAAATGTTCTACAGTTCACAAAGATGGAACAGTCTTCTAAATAAACTCCCAAGCAAAGGGGCATTATGCCTATCCACAGCATAAATTTTCACAAAGTAAAACAAGCTTGAGAAACATACAAATCCATGTCCATTACTGGATGGTTAAATTTCACCTTCTCTGTCAGCCCTTCTTGTCCCCCCTTCCTGTTGTTACCTGTGGAGAGGCCAAGCCCTGAGCATAAGGTGGAAGGCTGTTGTTCTGGTCCATGGTTCTCACTGTCTTCAGTACTCAGACTTTTCCTAGAGCATCCTCTGCAAATTCTCTTTTGAAACTCCTTTAATTTTCTGGGTTATCTTCACACACCATGAAACAGTGATGCTGTGCTTGGGGGAAAAATGCTTTAAGTTTAAATAGGTTTCATATTCACACAAAACATACACACACAAAATCTATCCTGGAGAAATATATTTATCTTTCAATCCCAAAAGCCTATTGCTTTTGACATGACTATTTGGGCAAGAAACTGCTCTTGCCTGGACTGTTTGCCTGTATACCGTATATGGTGGACATGCAGTGCCCACAGGAAAGTGACTGCTGAACTGCTGAAACAAAATGGGACAGTCCTGCAGGGTTCCTGCTTCATGGAAATGTCTGCCAATACAGGAGGACAGTTTAAAATTTCCTGTTTCACTGAGAAGTCTGTCAGACACACTATGGCCTATGGGCCGAAGATGGATGTTCCAATGTTATAGAGGAACTTTGGGTGATTGACCAGGCAGTGAGATGTCTCTGTCAATTCTAGAGTTTATATACTATCCTTCTATGGTCTTTGATGGAGTTGAAGACAAATAGTTACAGTTACTGTTTTCCTTAGTTATGATAAAAGATAAGTTACACATAAGACTTTAGACTCACAAAGATAGGATAGATAGAATATTTTCTTTAAATCTTGCTAAATGTTAATGGACTAAATATTGTAACTATAGTTCTTACTTGAAAACTGTTTTGTTATATGTAATTTTACCATGTTAAGGATAAAACCCTTTTTATTTAGAAAAGAGGAGATGATGTGGTGATGTCCTTCTGTGTATATGTTTCTCTTATTGGTTGATGAATAAACCAATAAACCTGGTTAGTGGCCAGGTAGAAAGAACTTGTTTTTGGTATGGGGGAACACCTAGAGAAAACTAATTCCTAAGCAAATTGTATTATCAGAGAATACTTTCTTAAGCAGTGTTTATACAGCACTATTAGGTCAATGCTGGTTTTTAAATATTCTCAGTTTTATACCCTTCACAATGTCTCAAGCATAAAGTGCCACAAATATTGAACTGGACACAATAAGCATATTGTGTAATCATTTTTAGCATAGGTAATCATTTTTGTGTTCCAATTTTAATTAAAGACAGATTAAACAATAAATGATACATCAATTTTATAAATACAATATTTATTCTTAACTCCTTAGAACATACTAATGAAAACTATGCCTGGAACTGGGCTTCATAAATCATCATTTTAGTGGCCATATTCAATATGCATATGGAATAAGAGACTATGTAAAGTTTTTTTTTTTTTTTTTAAATTGGTAATGGTAGTGACAGAACATAGTCTCATAAATGCTAGGCAAATGCCCATCCCCAATTCTTTAAAGACATTTGTTTTAATCAAGTCAGTTCATGCAGACCAATAACTTGCTCAGAGATGCCCTAAGGACTGAATGAATCAACAATGGATGAACAAACTGAATGAGCTATCAATCAAGATGAATCTAATTGCGGGGCAGTGGAGGCACATACTTTTAATCCCAGCACATGGGAGGCAGAGGCAGGCAGATCTGAGTTCCAGGACAGCCAGGGCTACACAGAGAAAATGTGTATATGTATGTGGGGGGGGGAGGGGGAAGGGGGGGAGCGGGAGTGGGTGAAGCTATATACACATAGTTAAGTACAGGACAGATATTATTACATTTTTAAAAAAAGGTTTTCATTTTATGTGTATGAGTATTTTGTATGCATGTATATATGCACATCACATGTGTAGTGCCTGCAGAAGTTAGAAAGGGAGTATTGGATTCCCTACAACTGGAGTTTCAGATAGTTGTGAGCTACCTACCATCTAGGTGCTGGGAACCAAACCCAGGTCCTCTATAATAGCAGTAACTCCTCTTAACCACTGAGCTATCTCCCCAGCCCAACAATCAGATCTTATTCTAAACATTTATTATCATCTAAAATTTACAAGTCTTATACTCACGACCCCTGGTCATTTTAAGTATATGCTGACACAGGCCTTCTTCTGATGTTACTAAATCAATCAAAGAATTTCATAATCTCTTTGAGAGGACAGAGGACCCAAAAGATACTCCTACAAACTCATTACTGAGAAGCACTTTTTCCTTTTGTTTTTCAAGACAGGGTTTTTCTGTGTAGTCCTGGCTGTCCTGGAACTCATTTTGTAGACCAGGCTGGCCTTTGAAATCACTGAGATGCACCTTTCTCTGACTCCCAAGTGCTGGGACTAAATCTGGTGCCCTCTTCTGGCCTGCAGGGATACATGCAGACAGAACACTATACATAATAAATCTTAAAAAAAGAAGGCCGGGTGTTAGTGCTGCATGCCTTTAATCCTAGCACTCGGGAGGCAGAGGCAGATCTCTGTGAGTTTGAGAGTGAGTGCCAGGATAGGCTCCAAAGCTTACACAGAGAAACCCTGTCTCGAAAACCAAAAAAAAAAAAAAGAGAGAGATGCCTGTTTCTGAGAGATACTAGACATACAAGAGATACTAAATTTACAAGAAAATTACACTTTTTCTGATATCATCAGAAAATGTTATTATTCTGTAACAGAAGTGCTCCAGATACAAAGATAAAGATGAAGAGGATACAGTCCTTGTCAATATTAAAAAAAAATACAAATAACTGTAAAAAAATTAGCAAGCACTAAAATCACAGTTATTTACTAAGTAAGGCAAGATGCAAGAAACTAAAACCAGCATTCATGTCTTCAAATCTTTTCAATTAGGACTAGGCCTGGCATGCAGTGCATAACCATGAATGAATGCTATGGAAGAAAGAATGCAAACTAAAGTCAAGAGGCTGGAGAGCAGTTAGGAGCAATGTTGTTTTTCAGAAGGCCTAGGTTTGATTCCTAGCACCCACATGGCTGCTCACAACTAGCTGTAAATCCAGTCCCAGGCAACCAGTGCTCTCTGTCTTCCATGGACCCCAGGTATGCATGTGGTATACAAGCAGACATACAGGCAAAACATTCACATACATAAAGTTACGTACCGTTTGAGAGGCCAGATCTTTCACAAGCCAGGAGCAATTTAACACGGATCTAGCATGAGGAACAAAAATGTACGAATCAGCACACACAAAAAGTTAAAGTAAGACAAAGGCTAATATAATAGAGCATCCAGTATGTGACAGGCTTAGTATGGAAAGTCTCTACAAGAGATGACAAGCAACTATAGGAGGGTTACATAATTCGGAGTGTAAGATGTTATTACACAGGCAATGGGATTTCTTTCTTTCTTTTTTTTAATCTTTTGAGCAACGGTTTCTCTGTGTAGCTCTGTAGATCAGGCTGGCCTCTAACTCAGAGATCCGCTTGCCTCTGCCTCCCGAGTGCTGGGATCAAAGGCGTGCGCCACCACCTCTCTGCTGGGATGGGATAAATCTGAGAAAATTCAATTTCAGAGGTCACCGCTATAGTTGAGCGAAAAAGATAACGATGATTGGATGTAATTATAACCAGAGATTTACCCAGATCATTTCGTGCAAATCAAGTTTACCGAACCGGCTGATTATATGTAAGGCGGAAATTGGCAGAAGGCTACGCTACGCAGAGGTCACATCTCACACCTGCAGGCGATGTAAACCATCTTTCCTCACTTGTATCACAAACTCGAAAATAATCACTACACTAACTTATTCTTAGCCGGTTTTTTCAGGGTCTTCATCTTTTAGGAAACGCAGCCATCAAACTGAGTATCTGAGAAACAATTCTGCCGTCTTCACGCGCCTGCCTAACCCAGTACTGCTGTCTCTTCTCAGAAAAGTCTAACCCAGGGTTTCGGGAAAAACCACCCGCTAACCGGAGCCCAGAGACGGGAGAGCGAGCAAACCAAGCGGGGATCTCTGTCGTGCTCGAATCTCAGGCTGCTGCTGACGAGATGAGTTTAAGAGTCTCCAAACCGCTCCCTAACACAACTACCCTTACGGGGGAGCGGCCCCAGGCCTGGGTAAAAACCCGTCTTCTAATGGG